GATAATAGCCTTTTATAACATTGCAAATTTATACATAATAAAGTTATATTAAGAGAATGGGAATTTGTTATTCCAAGAAATTTTGACATAAGAACAAGGACTGACAACTTTATATCTTTAACGGTTAAGTATAAATTTTATTTCATATCTACTCGAGTTTCGTGTGTTTATACCAAAGGAACCCGTTAGTACCGCGACTATTGGGCCATTAAAACCCTGCGGTACTGAACAAAGCCTTTCTGAATTATAACTGAATTAGTCCTTATAATCTGTCGATCATCAACACTCTAAGACTGTTATTTACGGGCTTTGAATGACTTTAAGGATAAAAAGCTGCCGTTAGTCTGTTATACTTTAGTAGCGGCCTAGGTTACATTATCTTAGAGCATTTTTCCTTGAACTTATTGTTTGAAAAATTTGTATTGTAAGACATATGAAACTTAAATTTTGGAAAGTAAATTGAATTAAACCCTGAACAGAACTTCTAGACTGTGTCTTGTGAGTTTATGGTATCTCTTACGGATGACAAGGTGGAAATCAAGGTTTTCGAGGAAGAAAATGTTGTGTAATTCGGAATCCGGAAACCGAAAATTTTCAGCCCTGAAATTCGGATTGCAACATTCCAGATACGTCTGGATACATACATACATACATACGTACATACATAACCTTTATTAAAGTGTCTAATCGTTGGGGACACCTTTAAAACTAAATTACATCATTAAAAGAAACTAATTAAAAACTATAAAACATAAAAAAGCCGGAAATTAACACTATTCAAGCTAAATGCTCTTTTACACTTTAAAACTAAGTTCTAAATTTAATGACCGCGTAATCGGAAATTCTCAACTCGAAATGTATGTGCATTTCTATCAATGTAATGGAATTGAACCCAATGTAATATCTCTCACCAAGTTGCCTCAGTTTTTCTTTAAACAACAACGGAAATTTTTTACATTAGAAAACAGTTTAATCCCCACATGCAATAACATGGCCACCATTTCATTTTTTTGTTCACCTATATAGCTGCTGTGACGTCATGTGAAAACGATCTAAAACGGAGTAAAAAAGGCAATGTTTCCCTAGGTTGTCAGTTTCACCGCTAATTTAGGTGAAACAGTTTTTATTTTATTATTTGTTTTGTTTTCCCCATTTCTATAAAGCATGGCGTTTTGATCTCAATATAAATTATTGATTTTAATTTTACATACTTTGTCAACCCTAGCAGTAATAGTCTGCTACACAGCCGTTCTTAGTGTCGTCACACAACGCTCCTTCCCCCAAACGTTCGACAAAAGGCGTGAGAGACACTTTATTTCCATTGTCTACGTATAGTTCATTGAGTTGGGGGCCTGTCGATCAGCTTTTGACCACATTTGCCCTTTGCGTGCCTTGTTACTTTTATACCTGGTTTATCCAGTAGACGAATCTTAGGCCTTAGGTATCCGCCGCCTAATGGACACTCCGAGAGACTCTTGGGACAGGCTCCAATCCAATGTTACCCCTTAGTCAGGCTTCTTCCTTAGAGACCAAGGCTGAGGTTGTCGAAGCCTGGTTTGCGGTGATTCTTGGTTAACAACAAGGATACATACAAGAGCATATAGGTTCATAAGCCTAGGTTTGCGGTTATTGTCTGTTAAACAACTTGGCCTTCTGAGTATTTTTCAGAGTTCCCAAAAACATTTTGCTCCCGGAAAACTCTTTTTAGTGCACAAAGCTCATCAGGAGAAATTCGATAATAAATTTCAAATGTTGAAAACTTTACAAGTTTGAGAAATATGTTGGCCTTCTTTACACTAAAACTCCCAAGAATTGTTTAAAAAAATATGAGAGAAAAACAGTTTCCAGAGGCCCGTCCGGAGAGCTGAGATTGTTTACAATCAGGATCAGCGTTTCAATAGTTTTGCAACAATTATAATAACACTATCAGTGAACGGAACAAAATGAAAAGGTTTGTTAGCTATTAGCGGTACTGTTACTCTTTAGATTTTGATTTAAATATTTGCTTTCGGTCCCCAAATGGTTACTGGGCCACAGGTCCGAAAACTCTTCGAGAGATTTGAAAAAATTAGGGCCTGATCAACACGTGTTACTCATGCATTGCCAAAATTCAAAATTTGGCGTTCATTTTACTAATTATAGTAATCCTTTGAAGAAATTATGCTCAGTCTTTCTCTATTTTCTAACAGCTCATCACTGTATTCATGTTGGTTGAAGTTTATCTTGTCTGTTCCTCTTTCCTAAGCGCGTCAAATTTTGCACATTATTAGGCAGCTCTGAACCAATCTTCCTGATGGAGGAAACACCAGGAATAGAGCTTAACTGATTTCCTATGATAGCGAAGCCATCAAATGGACTGACTACTGTCTGAAGATCCTGTAGTCTCTGTTTTCCCTTTTCCTTGACAATGTGTTCTACTTTAGCTCTGCATTCTTCGCACAGTTCTTCTACTTCGTTTTTTAAGAGAACTGCCTTGTCCGAATCCTTTTCTTCTTCTTGCATTTCATATTCATCTTTTTGTCATGCAAAACGAAAAAAGAAGATAATAAGTTCTTATAAAATTTTAAAACCACAGTAAAACAAGCCCCTTAAATAGCATTTTTCCCTTTTCCCTCCTCCTCCCATTTCTTCTGTTTTCGATCACGGCATAACAAGCCACACCATCGAGTTCAACACTCGTGTGTTACCGGATAGCCGAAACAGCTTGGTCATTTGACCTGGCATCCGTTCCATTCCTGAGATCTTAAATTCAAGCACCTTTTCTGGCAAGCATTAGAACTTGGACAGTTCTTGGAGAAATAAAAAAAAATTATCAAGGATTTCATCATTATTTAAGACGAACTGTTATTGCTGTAGCAGTTATGTTTAGTCATTAAAATTTCTTAAATTTTATTTTAAAACTGTCATCAGTCTTCATTAACACCAAAAGATTAACAAAGCGATTTGGAACGTTCTGTTTTTCTCCACCGGCTGAGCATACTCACGGAAGCTTCATGTACTCACCATTGACTTTGTTTATACGCTCCATTTTAGGCTTATAGTAAAAATATTCCCACAGGAGGCCACCGCTTACAAGAACAGCAAACAAAACAAGAAGAATGATGAGAAAATCGTAATCATCAAACAAACTAGAAGATTCTTTCGTGTTTTGCTCCTGGGAAACTTCGCGGGATAATAGCTGCTAGAAAGAAAAATAAAGAAAACGACTGTCACGGTGGAACCCGATTGTCAAGGTGGAACCAATTGTTATCAAGTTCACTGAAAAGGTCAAAAAGTATTATTTAAGAAACCCATAAGAGTTATGGGCAGCCAATTTGCATAAATTACAGTCAAGAAGAATTAAAGAAGACATCGTTGAACTGGTTATGATTTAAATATATATTTTTTCGTTGCTGTGTTTTTGTTCATTGAATTATTTTTCTATTAAAATTTGGAGTTTGGACGGCTCAGATCAGTTGTTTAGGTAGAGCTGGAGAAAATGGCGGAAAATTTTGCACGTTTTGTTGAAATGACCGTCAAGAAGGAATTGCTAAACATAGAAGACAGCCAAAATATAACTCAACGGATGACAACTGTCATTTGGAGAATCTCTGCTAAACAAACCATCCCTTTACACTCTGAGTTTGCCAAAGAAGAGAGAAATGAAGACGCGAACTTAACATTCATCGAGGTAATAAAGTTTAAAAGTGTAAATTATTTTGAATCAATAACAAAACAATTATTGGATTCGGCATTCGTATGATCTGAGGAAATATGCAGGTCATACGAAAGCTGAATTCAATAACTGCTTTTATTATTCATTCAAAATATTTCCCCGATTCTGATTGGCTAAAAACACACGTTTAATTCACCATAACCAGTTACTGATGACCAAATTTGGAAGAATTTTGACTTTAACGAGGAAATGACGTCAAAAATGCAGCGTTTTCGCAGGTTAAGGCACCGTTAACCGAGAAGACCTGGGGACAAGGTTGAGTTGTTTTGGTTGTGAACTTGAAAAAATGGCGGACATTTCACTCGTTTCAAGAGTAAGAACTAGGCGAAATTATAGCTAAAAACATGGCAAGAACAGCAAGAAGACAACTCGAGGGGCGACATCTGCTATTTGGAGAATATTTGCGGAGCTGGACAAACCTAAACGTACACTATCGAAGATGAACTGAACATCGATGGATCGATGGAGGTAAGCATGTTTTAGCTATGTTTTTAAACTAGGAATTATTTTGAATGAATAATAAAACAGTTTGAATTCGGCTTTCGGATCATATGAAGAATTATGGAGATCTCGGAGGGTGTTATCCGCCTCGGCCGTACACCCTCCTCGATTATGGAGCGTTATTAGGGTCAAATTTAGAAAACAAATTATGTTATGGTGTTTGATATTTCATTCGGCCGAACTACAGAATTATGTTCCAGCGGTGCATGGAATTATGTTCGGCTCTTTTAACTTCAATAAAAAATGCAATAAACTATGTTCGGCTCTTTTAGAATTGTGTTGGGCGTATTTCACTTATAACTAGGCTGGCAGTTTTTTTGAGTTTAGTCCAATTTTGTTCGGCTCCTCCGAATTACGTTCGGAACGCGGCTTCTCGAATTATGTTCGGCAAGTAGACTGGTAGCCTCGCGATAAGAAACTCACGAGGAGTCCCGGGGCGAGAAACATTTCCCGCGCTCTCTATAATTTATTCTAATTATTACCAGTGTTCGTGTACTGATCTGTCGAACATGGCGGACAACAAACGTGGAAGAGGCGATCGCGACGAAAACCAAGAAAATCCAAACGAATGCAAAAGTGCTAAAGCAATTAAACTTTTTCTAACTTGATATCTTCTCCGGCGAACAGTTCGCAGCTCAAGGACTCCCAGGAGGACGCCCCTGGGATTGACTCTTCTCATACACTCCCTGATGCGATTTTGCTGGATTCTATGACCTGAATTGAGCAAGAGGCCTGTCATCCTCTTGTAGCCACAATTGGGAAATTCTCTCATTAATTCTTCAAC